TGTCGGCACCTGGGTAGCTTTTGCTGTAAATTACCTGGTTTCTAAATCTCTCTTTCACTAGAAATGTAGTCTATTTAATGTTTACCTATATCGCTCTGCTTTATCCGCGTATATCTTCTACGCCTTGGTTGTTAGGTACACCATAATATGTTAGTTATAGATAATCTATGTTTAGTTATAGTTCGTTAATTGTATTAACCGGCCCCCCTATCGTTTCTCTTGCCTTGACTGTCGGGTCCTACTATAATGTCTTTCCTTCCATCTCTTACTACTGCGTTCCAGTCTCCTGTGATAAAAAATTCCCTTCGCTCCCTTCAACGCGCTTTCTGCCTTTTTAAGTTAATTCTACAATCTGCCTACTCTCCCTAAACTCCCCATATTACATGCAGTCGCAGAAGACGTTTGTTGCCCTTCTCAGACTCTATAAAGTTAATGATGCTGCGTGGGATACAGCAGTGAGGTATTCTGGACCATTGGTCCTACCCACCCGGAGTCCTCTTTGTTTTTAAATACGCCATTACCATTTTAAAGCTGTGGAAGATGCGCTTTCTGGGGAAAGATTCGGTGGTGGTTTCCAGTGGCCTTTCACCTATAATATAAGGTGTATGGATTGAATGCTTGCAGAAGGTCCTTCCTTGGCGCAAAAAAATTGCGCTGTTGCACGACAATTGTAGGATCCACAAGACTCGAAATGTGCACTCAGGCTGCGAAAGCTTTCGGATTGAATTAAATATGTCGTTAATTGAGTGGGGTGTGGGGTGCAGAATTAATAAAAATGAGCTGCCGGTCGCAATTGCGTTAAACCAGAAAAGAAGAGCAATGCTACGTGAAAAATGAAAAAGGTGTGGATGGGCTCAAAATTAGAAAACAAATAAATAAGTAATATGCGGTACTAACAAATATCTATAAGGTTTAGAATGTAGATATAAAAAAAATCCGTTTGAGTTTAACTTTTTTGAAAATTTCTGTAAAAACCTTATATGATTTAGTACTTTTGTTCAAATTTTGAAGTAATAACGAGCTCTCTTAAAAAAATTCCGCACAATGGTTTCATATGGATGCTAAACATAGTAATTGTCGTTTTATTAAAAAAGGGACATTAGGTACCTATATGAACTAAATGGATAGGTTCACTTAAATAGTTGTTTTTTGAAATGGGAATTGATTCTTTTCAAATTATTATTAATGGTTTGGTTTGTTCATATAAATTGCAACTCGCGTTAGTAATTATGCGACTGTTTGATGTTTTATTTCAGGGAACGGTTACCTCAATATAATCGTCTGGTTCTCCAAACGCTCCTTCAACCATTTGATTCTGCAATAATTTTACTTTTTCCAAAATTATCTCAAACTCCGGCGGAACACTGAAATCTTGGAAAGGTAAAGCTAACTTTACACCACCATCTGTAACATCAGTCGATAGTTGAGGTCAGTAGTCACAATAATAATGTACTTACCTATATTTGACAGATCTGTAGGTTCTTGCTGGCGGATGTGGGTCAAAAACTCATTTAAATGTCTAATTTTTGCTTCAAATTGGCATATTAGGGGCGACTTTAGCAGTTTGCTTACATATTCGTCGTTTAAAAATTTTAAAGTTCCGTTTATGATCTCACACTCATTTCTATACACATCCAAATTGTCGTTTTGGTATTCCTGCGAACCAAAACAGAATTACTTACGTGGATAAGTGCTCAAGTAGGTACTTACTTGAAAGGGTACGAAAACGCTTTCTTGGACATTAAAGTTGCGAATTTCAGTCAGAGCTTTGACCATTTCATTTTGAAGTGAATCCAGCATGTGTCGATTATCATCATATCCATATAGCGGTTTGAGCTTTTTGCGTACACTTCGTACAGTTTCAATGTTAGTATTTCTTATGGCTTCAGTTTGTTCCCATAGTTTCCTGTAGGATTCTTGAAGGCTTTCGATTCTGTTTTTATGATGGTGCTTAAGTAAATTAGATGAAAACTCCACAAACATCACGTGCGTGGACTCTAACAGATCCAAAAGCTCTGCGTGTTTTAAAGTAAAACAAACTGCTCGAAATTAAACCTAAAAATTACCGTAAACCATATTGAACCACAGTAGCTCACATTGTTGATGGTAGCAATTATATTTCTCCAAGACCTCGACCATTAATTTGTCGTAAGAAGGCGGCACACTCTCGCTGTTTATAATTTTGACATGTTTGTCATAAAATTCCTGTTTATAAAAAGCGATTACTGAAGAGTTTTTCTAAGAATGGGGGAGCAAAAAAGAACAAGTCGCGGAATTGATCCGTCTAAAATGAAAATTTACACCGACTCGTACGAAAAGGAAAATCGTCTTCGTCTCAAGTGGTTTAGGAGGAACGAAGAACGTTTGGTGGCGTATACGGAGAAGCCCAACACCAAAACTGTTCCGCAAGAATTATTACACGAAGTTGCGAGTAAACGTAAGATTAGTTATCAGGAAGCAGAAAGACATCCGAGAATCCATATTGATGATGCTCCACCCCCTCTGGTCGATCCAAACTCAATGTACAGTACAATGAAACCGGTCGATCCCCAGATAGCGAAACTAATTTACACAGGTACCCAGGTATCTATGGTTGAAAACGGGTTTGTTTATGTTTTTTGATAGGAACCCAAAAGGACGGACGGATAAATTACCTACACGAACGCGTCAAAATTATACCCGAAGACAAATATTACTTTGCCGAGGTAACGAGTTGGCGATACGGTTGGAACATGTGGAATAGTGCAAATGTCGCAACGCCAGTTAGATATGGAAGATGTCAAGTGATCAAGGCCTCGTTTTATCGAAGGAATGGAGTTGCACGGGATCCTGATTGGTACCAAGAACCTGCAACTCTCAGCCCTTGCATATGTGACCGTTCATAGCTTCGCACTCACTTTCGCATCTTGTTGAACATTCTTCAAAGAGTCTTGAAGAAATTTGCATAGTTTGGACATGAAGCAGTTTCCTTGCGGTTCGTGTTCAAAAAGCATTTTGGTGTAATCAAAGCGATTAGTGACAACAACTGCTTTCTCCTTCTTTGTCTTTTTGTCTTTTTTGACACTTTTCTTGTCGTCCGTTGTATCAGTTATTTCGACGGGAAGCATTGAATAATTAATGTTTCGTACTGAAATTTGAACAATAATATTTTTTTTAATTGTCACGCGCACCATTGTTTATAGGTTCGGATTGATAGAGATAGCTCATTAATTGCAGAAGGCCATTGCCAAGTGCCTGAAATCCAGTCTCATACTCTTTCAAGTTTGCTACATCGAAAGGTTTGGTTTTGAAGGACTCCAAATCTCTCAAGTTGTCTTCGGCTTTCTTAAGGTAGAACTTTAAGTTAAACGTTTCCTTTTTTAAGTCAATTTGAAGATTCTGATTTACAGTCATGTTTATATCTTTAAATTGGAGTTCTTCTAAGCTCATTGTTATACTAAAATGTTTCCTAGTTGGTTTCGCCAATATGCAGTAACATAATATGTTTGATGTTTGATTATATTATAATCAAAGATCTCAAATTACGCAATATAGTTTTCTCTAGAATAAGTTAGGCAATAATTTTGGATATTGTTATAGATAAAAGGCTATAGCATTGAATAAACATTTTTTTATTCAATGGCTATAGTCAGTTGATTGGTTGTGAGCTAATTGAGTGAGTGAGTAAGTGAGTTAGTGAACTGACTGATTTTTTTCCAATCGCGATCGGTAAAATAACACCCGATTACCGGCCGTTTTGTATTCAAAAGATCTTTCTTGATCCAGTTCCGCCAGTTTTTTCCATCCAAATCTGTTTTCCTAAGCAAAATAAGTGATGCCAAGATGTTGTAAAAACAGCAAATGAAACCGATCAAGTGATTTGAGATCTCCGATGATCAAAATGTAGTCATCATACAAAGGAAGAATTTTTGCTACTTCTGCCTTTACTTGAGCCGTCATTTTCTTTTGTTTTACTTGTATTTCTTTTTTGACGCGTTTTAACTGCGCCTTTACCGTTTTCTCCAATTTTTTTAATTCTTGCGTAACTGTCTTTACTTCATCACTGTGATAGTTTCCATCTTCGGAAAATAATCTAAAAGTAAAGCATTAATGAAATGTATATTTAAAAGAAGTTATCGGACATGCATTGAGGAACCAAAAAGGTCTTTAATTTATTGATTTGTGGATGTTTTGTGTTAATTTTTTAAAAGTAAGTTAAAAATTCGTATGTTTTGGATTTGTGCGTGTCTACTCACGTTTTCTCTATACCTATTTTTGCGTAAGATTAATGTAGGTATTTAAAATTTTCAAACAGTGTCAGATGGAAGAGAAATTCAGAGATATATATATATGATCCTGCTTGAGTAGTTTTTATCGACGATAAAAATTGTGTCTTTTGGAAGTTCATTTAAAAACGGTTTACTTATATCCGTTAATACAGAGGCCCAAAATTTTGGAAAACAGTTCAAAATAATTCATATGTGATAAAGTATGTGCAATTTAGAAATCGATCATCAACATAAAATCATTTTGGACTTTAGACACAGAATGTGTATAACATAAACATTTTTTGTATGGACAGGGTGCTCCATAAATGTGGTATGAGACTTTGGTATTTTAAATGAATTACTCTGTATCTTATTACAATTATAAACTGTTTTTAAAATTGTGCATACTTTCATCATGCATACAAGTTACGAAGAAACGCGTACGATTTTTCGGAGGGTAATTTTTTGCCACTCAGGTCGCATTCAGAAACCAGCCGATGTCCGGCTCATATTCAATAGCACTGACCCTTGAACTCGTAGAAATCGATTGGCGAAGGTTTGATATCGCGGTCTCTTTTCGATCTCGAGTTAAACGAGGAAAACAGAGAGAAATCATTACTCATAATTATATAAAATAAAAATAAATAAATTCCCCTAAAAACCAAATTTCAAAAATTTTATATTGTTCCAAAAAATCACTGTTTGCGCGCGTCAACAGAAAGAAAGATGCTATAAGCTAATTAATAGTGTGCTTAATAAGTTATTGTAAAAAAACGTTTCGTGACGAAAATTTAGGGCGTTAAGCTTTAAGAAAAAAAAAACAAGAAAACTTGTTAATAGTTCTGGATTCCAAATTTTGTTTAGTATCTTGTAGCATTTAATACAAACGCACTTTTTCCAATAAAAACTAAATGTGTAGGTTTAACAGTAGCATGCTTCCGTTAAAAAAAACGGTACGCCAATGGTTTTTTCTCAAATAAAAATTAATTTTCACAAATCGTTTATTTGAAAGAGAAGCACTCTTTTGATTTTTTTCTAGATTCCCCCTTTTTGAGTAAAAAAAATAAAACCTATCATTGTTCGCATTTAAAATAATTGTATGCATGGTTTTATTTATTTACCAATAAACCATTATAACAGACTTAAAGTGGATTAATTTATAACAGTAATTATTATACAAGAGCATCGAAGTTGGAACTGACTCGAAACACAATTCTGTTTGCTTATATAGCAAACAATATTCTTTCTAGAATGTTTTCGAGTACAACTCAGGAAGCTTTATCGCCGATGACTAATTTTTCAGCGGCACATAAAAACATTATACACGGACTACTGCAAAAGAAGCGAATATTTTAGCACAATAATAACACTATTCAATGGGACTGGTCCATAGCTTTCCAACAATATATTCTGCTACTTACTTCATTATCAAGATAATTCCACCGACACCACCAAAAGATGCTCGTTGAAATGTTCCAGCATTCATTTGTAAGTACTCTCTCACGGCACTCTAGGGCTCTGGCGGAAAAAACGAGAAGGATACAACCGATCTTCATAAGGAATTCGGGATGGGGCCCCCAATTACTTTTTTATTTAGCACCAGAACCTCATTTAAAATGTTCGCGTGCTAAAACAGCATCTCAGGGAATAATTCACTGTAAAAGAGAGGGGGGGGGGGGTCTCCTCCTTAAGACACAAAAACTTGAAATCCGCCTGGTCCATTCTCAAGATATTGGAGATATTTATTGCCCAAAGTTGAGGTGGAGACTTTTTCCCCAAAAATGCGTTTGGAGAATTAAACACGTCGAGATTTAAAATAATAACCCAGTCAGCAGCGGGTTTTTATAAAGATTTAAATTTTTCAATTAAGATATTTGTGACAAAAGATACGGTGATTGCGCCGACGCCGACTACCTGTTCTCGCTTTATTTAACAATTTGCGGTGCAATATTTGACCAAACTTTAAGTGGAGTGGTGTATGTAGCGTCGTTCCAATGGTAAATGAGTGAGTTATGGTCCATATTTTGGGGAGACTGAACCAATAAGGCCAAGGGTGAGTTTTTATCGTTATTTAAATAGGTACACCGTGAGTCATTTCTAACATGTTACAATCTAAATGTTGATTTCTCATGAGGTGGCGTAAAAAAACAAAAAAGGTAATTGTTAATCATACGATTAAATTAAAACCCCATCATAAATGTATTGCGATTCTATACTTTCGTTACCAAAATAATAAACATGTGTGTCCATTAGAGATACGGCGTTAATGATCAACAGATGTGCGGTTGCAGTAAACTGTCCCAAATGATTTTAGGTATATTTGGAAATTTTTCAATTTAACATTTCACATTTGTTACGTAACTGTGTTTAGTGTTTTCAAAGTGTTTAGAGAGCAAAAAGGATTAGTCAAAAAAGTATTTCACGTAAAAGAAATTCCTTCTGTTGAATGTTGAAGAGATCAGACATGAAATTTTAAAGTCAGATAGGTAGGTGCCTTTAAAGATTTAGATCGCTTTACAGCGACTTTTCCAGCGAAAACCGAACTTTGTTTTGGTTCATTTTTCGTTGTTTTTTGTTTTTTATGTAGTACAATTTTCACTCCGTCGCGAAGATGTAATTTTGAGGAATGGGGCCACGGTGTATGTTATGTTAGCTGCACTGTGTATGAAATGTCCAGCGCAGAGTACCTATGCCAAACTTTAGTTTTTTGTTTGTTATTGTGTTATGTTATTTTCGTTTCGTTTTTGATTAGCGGGCGTGCCTGAATTTGAAATGGTGCCGCAATGTTAAGATGATAAAGGTATCCTATGAAACTGCAGGGTTTCCACAAGAAATCATAGGTTTTCATTAGAATTTGTATAGTTTCAGTATACATGCTTTATTAACGGGCGGCCAGGGTCGTTCATGATTTTAGACTTTCGGTCCGTCCGTCTGTATACGTGATAACTGTCGCGAACGTTTTCGAATTTTCCAATTCTGTTTTCCGTAATAGGTAGACAATGGTCAAAGGATTAACTGATTAAATTTGAGTCATTTGGGCAAAAGAATGCTATAAAGCAAACAAGGGTCACAAATTAATTATTTGCTGCAAGTGTACTCCCTATTTCGTAATAAAATAAGATTAATTAAAAAGATGAACTACGTTTTTTAGCCAATGTTATTTTACTACGAACTAGGGAGTACACTTGCAGTAAATACTATGCGATCAAAAATGAGTTACTGTCTAATCACCTTTGGAATTTTTGGTTACATGGGAAATCGTACCAAACTCGAACTTCCAAAGGCGACTCGACAGCAACTCATTTTTGATCGCCCGTTATTTAATTTGTGAGTTTTGTGACAATTGTTTACTTTCTGGCATTCTTTTGTTTTTTTTATCGGCCTACTCCGGTGTACATGTAATTAATTAATGGGTACATGGCCCCCTCGTTATTATGTAAATTACATATAACTTATTTGAGATTAGAATGTAAAAACTAGGAAATCCAAGATATTTCGAAAACTATCAGAGATAGTTATAGGACATTATTATCAAAAGTTGAACGTTTTTGGAGGAGCTAAAAGATGACAGAAGTATATACAGAGAGTGTTCCATTTAAAAAAGTGAGATTTTTATATGAAGCTTAGATTATTACTGGGAGTTGCGTGCAATCTAAATTTCTGAAATCTCTAAAA